GGAATGAGAGCGCTTTTTTCTCCTCTCTTCCTTTTTTTTTTTCTTTTTTTTTTTCCCTTTTCTTTTTCTTTCTTTTTTTCCTTTTTTAATAATAAAAGCCGCTCGGTGGCTCTAAGCCCCCTTAGATAGAACCGACATGAATCCTTGGACCTTGAGGTTCTGCTTCCCCCGACTCAGAGAGAGTGGAATAGGTCGCATTTAGACCCAGAGAGCAACTCACTCTCGGGACGGGCCAAGAGATATTGGCTACTGCGCCAACCTCGGGCCAACGAACTTTGTACTTTCTTACGGCTCTTTTGATTGTCACTTTTTTTTATTTCTTTGATTTTTTTGTTTTTTTTTCCCTCTTCCTTTTGTACTTTTTCACTTTCCTTTGCAACCGACGGATTGACGCATTAAGCGAATGGATGGAATAGGAGCTTTCATTAGAAGTGTGCGATGCGCGGCAGGGTAGTGACTATATTAGGATTAGGCACTAGTGACACTATTCATCGGTCTATCGTGCGATAACCGGCTCTGGTAGCAATTGGAACACGCTGCGGTCCGGTTTTGCAGGAGTTTTTGTGTGACAGTATGCGGCATGGACTTTTTCGCCGACTGGGACCAGGAGGAGCGGCATGAGCAAGAGGAAGTGGTAACGCTCTTGGCGTGAGACCCTCGTCTTCCTGCCTCCCTGTCCGCATTTCAGCCTTGCGCCAGGTAGAACGCCGCGACATGCCCCGCTGCAACTGCCATACCCTGCCACTGTTCTCTCTCACCTACGCTTAGCGCATACCTGGCTCTGCTACTTCTTCTCGCCTTGCTTCCCAACCTTGCCTTAGCAAGCCTGCTCTTCACCGCCTGCCTCTTCGAAATGGTGCTTCTGCGCGCCTCGACCAGGAGCTTTGCTTCGCTTATTGCTGGCACCATTTGCTTTGCGTCTCTCTTTCTCGCCGACTGTTTCTGCCTTTTCTTTCTGCTTGCTGCTTCTAGCTGGCTGGAAGGCACGGTTGAGTAGCACACGAGGCCGAGGATGGAGTCCAAGATAGCGATAGGGACGTCTTCGCACGTTTTTTTAGCCTTTCTTTCCTTTTTATCTTTCCTTTCCTTTCTTTATTTCATCTTTTCTCTCCCCGCTCCCCCTCCGCATGAACTTTGTCCCCCTTGCTCTCCTTCCCCTCCCTCACGAAACTTCGCCCCCCACCCCCATCCGCCATCCCCTCCTCGCTACGCTCCCTCGCGCCCCCCCTCACCCCCCTCGCCTTCCAAAGACCATGGAAGATGTCCCCCCTCTGATGACGCCCCAAATGGCATGGGGTAGAAAAGTGCTTCAGGGATCTGCCATGCCCTCCCTGCAATCCGGCGAGATGGTCTGTGCGGACACAGGAGCACTTGGGACCTGGAGGACAGAGCTGGAGCAGGGTTCCCCCTTCCTTTTCTCCTTCTTTCTTTCCCTCACCGCTAAACCTTTCCTCTGTCCGCGTTCTTTCTTTCTTTCTTTCTTTCTTTTTGCCTTTTTTCCCCGTACGGGTTCGGATCTTGGCAACTAGAGGAGCGTGGTATGTTGTGACGCTGACTTTTTTGGTCGGTTTATAAGGATACGCATGTTGTTGGAGTTCTGGGTACTTTTTTGGTCGCTGACTTTGATTTCCTTGTGCGCACAATAAATGATTTCGTGAAATGTCTAGTCGCGCACACTTTGGTTTAATAGTACTCTTTTCCTCCTCCTCTTTTCTTCGTTTCCCTCTTCGTGGACTCCTTTTTCTCCGTCTTCCTCTTCTCCTTCCTCTTCTTCCTCTTCCTCTTCCTTTCCTTTCTGATCTTTCTCTTCTTCTTTCTCCTTTTCCTGCTTTTTATGGTTTTTTATTTTTTCTTCTTATTTCCTCTTCTTTCGCTTCCTTTTTTTTCATCATCATCTTTTTTCGTTTCTTTCCTGACCTTCTCCTTCTCCTTTTTTTCTCTCTCGCTTCCCCCCTTTTTTCCTTTCTCCTTTTTTTCCTCCTTTTTTTGCAATACTTTTGATTGAACTGCTGAGATGCGTGTTTACGAATAATTGAAATATGATTTTCGAATTCAACATTCCTTGTTTTTTTTTCTGTTTCTTTTTCTTTTTCTGCAAAATCATGTATTAGATCGATGGAATATGTGTTTACAAATGTTTGAACGCGCCTCGAATAATGGGCTCCCACCACCCCCTCACTTTCGTCCTGCGCTACTTTCGCCTGCCTATTCTCCTTTGGCAAAAGCGGCTCTATTCGCCCTCGCCACAACCGGGCACACGAATGGGCTTTACCCTGCCGCGTTTGAAATCGCCTCCGCGCCTTGCACCTTGCCCGCAGTGTGCCAACATATGTGGTCGGAGCTGCACGAGTATGACGTGTCGTACTCGCGCATATCTCATGTGACACACACATGCTACACACACACACACACACACACACACACACACACATAGTCAGACCCTTTTTCCATTTCGGCGCGTGGATTGCCTCCCACTTTGAATTCGAATTCCTGCCACCACTGCTGCAAGGACATCACAGAAAGATGTGTGCCCCTCGTGAGGGCATTTCAAGGACCGACGGACGAAACACCACCAGCAGTCCAGTAAGGGCATATCCGAAAGTTACGCCCCATGCTAACATGGGTCTGCGGAAAATTTCAAAGGCCCGAGGGGCACCTCAAGGTAAGTCGGCCTTCATAGGGCCACGCCGCAAATAAACGCAAACTTGGGGGGCATTTCAAAAATTTTCCCTATTTCCTAATCAACCAATCAGTTAATCAATCAATCAATCAATCAATCAATCAATCGGTCAATCAATCGAACAATCGATCGATCGTCCTAATCGCGCGTCAGGTCAGATGACTGTCCTGATTCACTAGCGCAGGTCCGATACCAGCTGATACATGCTCGATCGAGCGACGTATATGGAGCCAAGGATTCACAAAGTGATGAGAAGGACTCAAATGGGCAATGCAGCGTCAGCAAAGCATCAGCAAGCAATGCACATCCAGATACATACAAAAATAGCACAATGTAGTGCAGCGGAAGACTCAAAGATATGACCTGATTTGTCAACCCATCACACACCACACATGTGAGAGAGGAGGGAGGTCCCTCCTTTGTACGCACATGGGAAGATACCACGGATGAGGAGATGGGGGAAGAGGCGAGACGAAGATGGAGATGAGGGAGAAGACCAAGATCGCGATAGCGAAGTCCAAAAATAGCCTCCCTGCCGAATGTCCAATCAATGTCTGGCACAAAAATGTTGAATCAGATCCTGGGCCTCATGGCCCGATGTAACCTCTGCCTCTAACCTCTCTCTCTCTCTCTCTCTCTCTCTCTCTCTCTCTCTCTCTCTCTCTCTCACACACACACACACACACACACACACACACACACAATTACACACACACACAGAGCAAGAAGAAGAAGAAGAATGTCGGGCTCCAATCTCACCTGCCGTTGGTAGTGGCTGGCGCTCTCCTGTCGTGCAGGTCGCTGGCGCGACGACCTAGGTACCTCTCTCTCCTCTCTACCTCCTATGTCGCCTTTACCTCTACCTAACACAGCGCTGTGTCGCGCGCTGCTCCAGCAGCGTGTCGCCCAAGAAGTGAGCTACTCGAACGGTGTACTGCCCAGGAGCTGGCCCAGCTACAAGTAGTTCTGGGCCTGGGTGCTGTGCCCACGACTTGCTCCTGGGCCAGGCCTAGAAATGACCTGCCTGGGTCTCTACTGGACGTCCAGGCGCTCCCTGCTGATGCAGCAGGGAGTGTCTGCTATCGGACAAACCTGAACCTGGCCTGAAACGGCCTGGTTGCGAACGAAGAAGGCCCAAAACGTGGCCTTTGTCCGAACAGACCGTAAGTCGGTTCGGACGAACTGCAAGTCGGAAACGACGCCTGAAACAGACAAAAAATAGAACAGCAAATAAATAAATAATGCTGCCTTAAATCAAACCCTGCGGCACCGAGGGCTGGCCGTGGGCCTCCAGGGCGCGCGCCTAAATGGCATGCGGCCTGGGGCCCCCCAGCAACCGTCGGGCCCCCGAAACGGGCCCCGTTTGAGGGCTCAGCATGTAACACACACACACACACAAACAGAGGGAGGAGACCTTGGAGGAATGGCGAGGGAGGGGGAGGTCGAGGCTGGAGATGGAGGAACTTACCAGGACGGAGCTTGTAAACCCAACATAAAAGTTTGAATTCAGAGTCCCAGATTGTCGCGCATAGAGCCTGGGGATTCTGCAAAGTTGTGCGCCGCGTAGACAGGGCAAACCGGGCAAAACAGTGTGCAGGCCCAGGCCCCAACGGAGAGGTGTAGATTGCAAATTTGCATCCCGGCCTGAAAGGGGCATATTGCAAGAAAGTCCGGCCAAAAGGGCATAATGCTCTACCCAAATCTTTTAGGGGCATTTTGGCATATATCTCAACTTTGAGAGGCATAACACAAATTTTCCCTAAAATCATTAAAAAAAGCTAAGCTTTAGAATATTCTTCTCTCAATTTCACCTCTCACTGCCTACCTACCACTACTTCTCAGCCTATACAGGGGACCCCTGCAAGCATAGCTACGTCTCACAATTAAGGGGATGCATGTTGCCCCCCGCCCTACCGTCTTCACCCGAATAGAACACCCGGTCATTATCGCTGCATCTGGACTGAAAGTTCGGCCAAATGCAGCCATAATGACTGGACATTCTATTCAGGTGAAGACGGTAGTCGGGGTGATAAAATTATCACTGCAACAACTCATGCATTGGCAGTTTACTACATTATTGCTGTGATTGTCTTTGAACTTTGAAGGTTTTTTTTTTTTTTTTTTTTTTTTTTCCGAAAGGGCAACGGCCTTGAGATATCATCATTTAGATGACCGGCCCCAGGCTCTTGGGTGTCTTTGAAGTCTTAGCACCAATCCATATGGAACAAGTTGGAAGGAAATCCAATCCAATATCTAGTATAGAGATTGCGGTTGACCAATGATATCTGACTATCGATGGAAATCTGGATTGTTCTGCCAGGGCCAAAGAGACGACGGTGACGAGACATTGGAGATGAACCGAGTCCGAGCCCTGGTTCGAAGTTTCAAACCATGGTTTGTGAAAAAGCCCTGCATATTATACAACTTCACAGTTGTTTGAAAGAGGGTTGGATTTTGACATTTCATTTATTTAGAGCACTTTAAGTAGAATTCCACAGCCGATCCACGGTCATGCAGCCCATGTGCGGCAAGCTTATCAGCCATGTCAAAGAACTGAAATTATGTGTAATTGTCAGAATCAGCAGGGTGCACCACCAGGCAACCACATTCTGACACAAGGGCCTCTGACTGGCAGCGTCAGAAGTTCCTTAGCGATTCGCCCTGTCCCTCAGAAATTCCTTGTTTGCAGTTAAAAATTGTTTGCAATGACAGGGTGAGAGAGAGGATGATGCTGGCAGCTGTAGGCTTCAGGTTGAGTGACCCTCCTCCTGCAGGTTGACGGACTGACCGACCCTTTTGCGGTGGGTGCGGATGAGGTCAGACGCCCTAAGGATGCAGTGCGTCGAGCACACGCGCAGCAGCAGATTCTGACAGGCCATCGACTGCTCGAAGTTCCTATTGCCACTCGTCTCTGGGGGTCCAGCAGTCAGTCAGAGATTCTTTGCACGAGCAATCACGGAGAGAGCTGACAATCAAGATATTTCTTGAGCAGATGGGCAGGCAAGCCATTAATGAATCCAATCGCCTTACAAGCACCTGCCTGAGAGGTTCCAGCAGGAAGGTTATGCCGTACCACTATGACTGTAGGAGTCTAGAGGAAGCCCAGACCCTCCTAGCAATCAATCTTGCGTCGGCGTATAGGGTGGACGGGCACACAGGCCGATCCCCCCTGCTTCTTCATTCAGGACTCCACATCATCGGTACTCTGCTTCTTTGTTCAGGACTCAACATCATCATCTATCCTGCGTCCTTGTTCAGGACTCGAAACCGTCTATCGGGGCGTTAGAAGCAGGCAACTGAGACAAGGAATCAAGTTGAAAGTTGCAGCATGGCTTGGGATGGGGGAATGGTGGAGTCATTCCTATCTCCTCTCGGCCCGGGTTGTAATTCAGAATGTGACGCATTTTTCGGTTGCCATTGCTGATGTCGTTGTTGCAGATGTGATTTTCAAGGCCACAAATTGGTCAAATTTGGAGGGTAGAATGGGGTGGGGTGGGGTGTGGTGGGGTGGGGGGAAAAGGGAGGAAATGCAGCTCTGATGTTAAAGGCAGCAAATTGGTCAAATTTGGATGATAGAATGGGTTCAATGGGCTGGGGGGGGGGGAGAAGGGAGGAAAGGAGCTGGTGGTTAACCCTGTGTCGATGTTGTGTGGATGCCCACGATGATGCCTTTTTGACAGTTTTTGTGCTTTTTAATGACACTGGCTGCGGCTTCATTCGCAATAAATGGTAATGATCCTCAGGGCTCTTCCCGACATGTTGGGACCTAACAACTGCCATTTTCTTCAAACTGTCTTTTTTTTTGTTGTTGTTTAAACTTTAAACCACCACTACCTCAGGGGTTCTTTTTTTCCTGAGGAGGAATAGAACTGTGCGCCAAGCTTTGCCGAAGCACCGGTGCAACCTTTTTTTTTTTTTTTTTTTTGGTTGGCTGGTGCCGCCATCCATTTTGGTCCAGCGCCTCCCGCCCTCCATAGAATGCAGTATAGGACCTATAGGTACTATAGGTTATATTTTTCGTTCCGAGTTTGCCTGTGAAAGGTAGTGGTGGTTTAACCGATTGTGTGTAGTTGAACACAAATGATTTTTGCTGTGTTCTTTGCGAGCTTCTCCGTCTTTTGGGTTTAGGGTGATGTCTTCAGTAGAGACACCACCCTAGACAACACCCTTTCAAAACTCAGAAAGTCGTGAAAAGCACAACAACAATCTTCCATTTTCAAGAACAAACAATTTCGTGAAATGAAAAACAAAAGCCGGTTTTGACGAAATGGCAGTTTAACTCTGTCCCGTGCTCGACTATTTCATGGCTTTTCGTGTTGTTTGTGCCTTTCGCTTATCCCTTTTCCTTTTTCTTTTGTTCAATCATCCTCTTCTTTGATAAAATTCTCTAAATCTTTCAATAATCACCCAAGTGCATAATGACCATGGTTGCCCCGGACCCGGACATCCAGACACCGGACACCGGGACCGGACCCGTGTCTGATTCATTTTTATTTTTATTTTTTTCCAATAAAACCAGTCTCCTTGCTAGGAGAGGTGATACGAGCAACCCCTCCTAGTAAGAGTCCTGGGTGCTCCGGTCTGTTGGTGGGAAGCAGCACCTGCTGGAAAGCGGGTCCAGCTTCCCACTGTACAACAGAAGGCCTGCCAGCATTGATTGCCCTGTCTCCAGGGGATTGACTGCACAGGGTTAATGATAAATGTTTTGGCAACAGCACACTTTAAGGCGTGGGGCTGCTTCTTTGGCCTGCACCAGACCGCTATATCACTCTTGTTTCCCTAGCAGCTACTCCCTGCGTCTTCTGAATCCGGACACCGATCCGGACAACTGGACATACGGACCTGGACGATCCGGTTATGAACAAACAGGTCCAGATGTCTGGATTATTAAACACACACACACACACACACACACACACACACACAACCAGTCCTCCTTGGCCCGCTGAAGATCACCCAAGATTGCACGTACAGGCCCTTCAGGGCCGGTCCGGTTGGCCTAACGGTCCACCACAAACTACGCCAACAATTTTCGGGGGTTTACCAGGCACTGGAAAATCGCCTGGGCAGTGGGTACCCCTTTTTTTTTTCTTCGAATTTTCTAGAAACGAGGCCCAACCGGAACCCCCAAACCGGATACCGGATCCAGACATCCAGACCGGACCGTCTGGATCCCGATCCGGACGTCCGGTTAACAACCATGATATTGCCTCTTTTGTTTTTGAAAAAACCTGCGCCTGTGACCGCTGCACAGTTCAGTATTCACAGAAATAACAGTCCACTGCAAGATTGGGCGAAGACCAGTTAGAAACTGCAAGAAAAACAGTAAACTATGCGTTCGACGGCCTACCGGTTCAATAATTGGCAAAAAAGGGAGGTGGCCCGGGCTAGTGATAGAGAGTTTTCCAGCCATGCACGCAGAGAGATAGAGAATGCATACTTCCATCAATAGGATGAGCAAAATCGGAATGAATCTTCCGCTAGAACATGGAAATATACACTGCATTCCAGCCATTCGTGCAGAGAGATAGAGAGAGGCTACTTCGATCATCAGGATGAGCAAAATCGAATGAATCTTCGACTATAACATGGAAATATAGTATATACACTGCCACAATTTTTATTTATTTATTTTTAACTTTTTTTATTTATTATTATAATATTATTATTATTTTATTTATTTATTTATTTTTGTGTGTGTGTGTATGTGTGTGTGTGTGTGTG